AATCCAACACCCATTCATGATAAAAACTACAGAAAATTCCAATAGATGGTCTTTATCTCAATCTGATGAAAGCTATCTATGACAAACCAACAGCCACCATTATACTACATAGACAAAAATTGAAAGCTTTCATTCTAAGATCAGGAACAAGGTAAGGATGTCCAGCATCACCACTCTTATTCAATGTAGTTCTGGGAACTTTAGCCACAGGAATTAGAAAAGAGAAAGAAATAAAAGGAGTAAGGACAGGAAAGAGAGAAGTTAAACTATCATTATTTGTGGATGACATGATATTCTACATAGAACCCCCCCCAAAAAATCCACAAGATTCCAGATTTAATAACCAAATTTGGCAGCACAGGATACAAAATCAACACTAAAAAATCAATAGCACTCTCATACACAAATAAAAAACTCACTAAGAGAGAGAAATCAGGGAAACAAAACACCTTTTGAAATAGCATATGAAAAATGAAATACCTAGGAATCAATCTAAGGAAGGAAATGAAAGACCTTTACATTGAAAATTACAGTACACTGAAAAAGGAGATCAAAGAGGATATCAGAAAGTGGAAAGACACCCCTTGTTCTTGGATAGGAAGAACCAATGTAGTGAAAATGGCCATACTTCAGCAATTGTTTACAGATGTAATACAAACCAAATCAAACAGCAATAGCATATCTCACAGAATTAGAGAAACAATCCTAAAATTCATTTGCAACCAGAAGAGACCTAGAATAGCAAAGGTAATTCTGGGCAACAAAAGGAAGGCTGGGGGTATCAGAATCTGCTGTGAAACTATACTACAAAGGTACCTTGATAAAAACAGCATGTTACTAGCAAACAAGAAAGGAGGCTATATGGAACAGATCAGAAAATGCAGGAACAACTCCAAACACATTCAACCTTTTGTTTGACAAAGAAACCAAACACCTTGACTGGAAGAAAGCCTCTTCAATAAATGATGCTGGAAAAACTGGCTTTTCACATCTGAAGATTAAAACTAGACCCGTATTTTTCACCACTAAGCTAAAATAGAAATGGGTGAAGATCTAAATATTAAAACACAAGCAATAAATCTACTGAAGATAGAATAGGTAGAACTCTTGAAGACATTGGTGTAGGCAAAGATTTTATAAACAAAACCCCAGTCCCACAGGAAATATCACAAAAAATCAACAACTGGTATCTCAACTTATTTTAAAAACCTTTTGCATAACATAAGAAACCACCAACGAAGTGAAGATACAAGCACAACATGGGAAACATTTTTGCTAGCTGTTCCTCAAAGAACTAATATCTAGAGTATAGAGATTTCAAAAAAAATTAGCCCCTCTAAATTTAAAGACCCAATCAAAAAATGAGCATCTGTAATGAATAGACACATCTCAGATGAAGGAGAAAAGGTAAAGATACGAAAAAATGTTCAACATTATTGGTCGCTTTAGAGATACAAATTAAAACAAGGCTGAGATTCCATCTCACTCCACAGAGAATGGCTACTATCAAGAAATAAGGCAAAAATAAACGCTGGCAGGGGTATGAGGAAAAAGGAACCCTTTTCCACTGTTGGTGGGAGCGTAGACTGGTGCAACTACTGTGGAGATTCCTCAAACAAACAAAATTAGAGTTTCCATTTGACCCAGGTATTCCCCTTCTTGGTATGTTCCTGAGAAAATTAAATGCATCGTATCACAGCGGTATATGCACACCCATTCACACCCACATTTACAGTGGCACAGTTTGTAATAGCTAAATCATGGAAACAGCCCAAATGACCACCAACTGACTAATGGATAAAGATGTGGTTTTGTAATACAATGTTGTACTACTCTGCCATAAAGAAAGATAATTTTTGAGACATTTCTAGCTAAATGAATGTACCTTAAGACCACACTCTTAAATCGGACATGTTTAAATACTGCAGTATTTCTCTGGTGTGAGAAACTGAAAGGAGACCAACCAAATTGTGTAACAGATATTAGGAATGGGAAGAAAATATTCAAATGAGGAGAGCAAGGGACGGGTGAGAAAGGGAAGAGAAAAAAAAGAAAATAGAAGGAAAAAAATGGAAACAAAGCTTTTGTAAATGAGGGAAAGAGGGGTTGAGGGGATGAGAAAAAGAAGTCAGACACGTCATGTACAGGCACAAATTCCTTACGATGAAGTTATTATGTACATCTAAAATGCACCAATAAACGTTTTACTTAAAAAAAAAAAGCTTTACTAAGAAAATTAATGAACAGAGTTTCTAAAAAAAGTTGGATCAGTATCTAAGATTCATGCTAGAGAGGATGCTCAAGATCGGTTTTTATCTTGTAGGCATTACTGGTTCCAGCACTTTTGTCCTTTACTAGATTTACCTTGAACTCTACCTAGCAAGGTCATTCTTCAATTATGACCCCAAATCAAGAACCTTTTTGCATCCAGTAAACAAAGGATAGATTTAATCTAATTGGGCTATATAGAAGCCTTTACTGATAATAGTGATTCAAAGCTCCACGAAACTGACAAAAGTGAACAAGGAGTTTCTGGGTTACCAAATGCTAATACTGATACTATTCTTAAAATACAAAAGCAGTTCATTTCTAGGGTACTTCTTTTAAATGTCAGTGTGGGAAAATGAGGGGATAAATGTCTATCATAAATGTCTGTATAGTTTAACCTAGCATCTTCACATTTAAGCTTGTTATTTTATAGGGTTTAATTTCTCAAATGATGTTCAGTTTATTTCGTAAGGTCTCATACTTTTTCTAAGTTTACTATGACATTCAAGTACAATCCTTTATGATGTATTTTCCCAGTGATGTAGAATATGAATTTGAATGTGATCATTATGCACTGCAAATACGTTCTAATGAAAATTTAAAAACTTAAAAAAATTATATTCACCTCCAAATGCCAAGAATCAAATAAATATGACTTCCATTCAATCTGAGATCACCTCTTTCATTTTGAAGCAATTGGGGATGGGATGGAGAGTGAGGCTGTGCAACAGGTAACGGTGTACCAATACAATTATTAAAACCACAATAAAAGAAAGGCGAAAGAGATCACAGCTATGAAGGGTGCAATGTTGCCTCTGAAAACATGTAATTTCAATTATAATGACTCAATATAAAATGCTGAAGTTCATATTTACATTCATGAGATACTATGGAGGATAAAAAAAGATATTCTGGGTATTTACTGAATAACACCTAAAATAGTGAAAGCTCTAATGCAAGTGACCTGACCCACTATTCAATTCAAAGTCGTGAATATGGCTTTAAAGGAGGTATTTGTTTTAAACCACACCAACCAGGCTATAAAAAGAAATTACAAGAAAGGGGAAATTTAAAAATCAAAGGCTTGTGGTGCAATCATGTAGTGGAAGTAGAAAAGTTAATCTGATTCAGCAAATGGGACATCCATAGTTATACAATTTCTAGAACTATTTTGATTTCTAAATTCTACTAGGACAGGGGCTGGGGATTTAGCTCAGTGGTTCCGCCACCTGCGTCACAAGCACAAGGACCTGAGTTCGATCCCCTGTACCTCCCCATCACCAAAATTCTACCAGGATCAACAAGGGTTGTTTAAGAAAAGTCAAACTTATATAAGTATCCATTAGTTCACTATGTCTTTGAAGGCATTGTAAATAAAACTGTAATTCCTTTAATCTAAATACTATTAGCAGTGACTTTGTTTTTCCTCCATAACACCATCAAACCTAAGTACTATGCATAAAAAATAACCAGGAAACCAGAAACAACAGTACAATGATTATACGGATTTAAAAGGAAGATGGAAATAAGGGGACGGCAAGAGACTATAATCTATGTAAAATTATACTGTTTAAAATAAACCTACAGCCAATTTGTAAACCAGACTTTATGATCAAAAGAGCTAAAAGAATTCAACTCAAAACCATGAAACATATCAAAAAATAACATTCCAAGGATTTTTTAAAGAGTTTTCTTAACAAATGAGGTTCTGCCTATCCACAAATAAAAGTTTCCCTGATTCATTTTCTTTTTTGTTATACAAACTGTTTAGCTACACAAATTTCCAGAATCCAGCACTTGGGAGGCTGAAGATAAGAGGATCACAAGTTCCAGGACAGCCAGAGCTACATAGTGAGATCTTGTCTCAAAAAAGAAGTAATATAATGTTGGAGGGTGTAGCTCCATGGTACAGGACTTGTGAGGCCCTCAGTTCAATCCCTAGACCCAAAAAACAGTACTATAAAGACACTGAGAATTCAGGCAGGTTAAAAATATGTATTTGGTGGGAAGGGTAATAAAAATTTCGATCAAATGCTATTTGTCAAGGTTTACTAATGTGACATACTCTGACATATTGGATTTGAAGCAAGTGTTGAAGTTTGAATCACAAACGTAACGAGTAATGCTGATATGTGATAAGTAGAAACTTTTCTGATATTTAAGAAATGATTGTGTAGCAAAGGAAATATTTCTCTAAACAGCTAGGTCTTCAGGTATTACTGCAAGGGAATGCAACCAATTTAATTACAATTCACAATATTTGAAACAATGAATCCAACAGAATAAACTATCAGTGAATATTAATTACACAGGCCTAAACCACAATGTACTTACTACCTGATTACTGAAAAACTTTTAAATGTAAAGTATAAAATTTAAATAGGGAAAATACATGCAGCAAATCGTTTTTTTAAAATGTTCCTTATCTTTCTTTTTCTTCTTTCTTTTTGATCCTGGAGAACGAACTAAACAATGTTTATCTATCTCTTGGTTTAAAAGGCCTGGCAGATTCTAAAACGGTGCCTTAGTTAATTCATCATTAAGCAAAACGTTTATCAGGTCATCTGCCTTTACCAAAGACTAAAACCAAAGAGTAAAATTAATAACCAACTGGTTTCTTCTTCCTCTTTTATTAGTATGTGTTTGCGACACATAATACATTCGGCATGGAGTACTAACAGTATGATTTAAAGTTTGATGGCACTAAAAACAGGCAATAAAATAGTACTTACATTTCTACTGAATTTGGTGAAAGAATGGTGCATATAAAACCTGTGCATATAAACAATAGCAGTGTTTATTGTGAGCTGAGAGCTGGAATATAACATTTAGGAAGTAATCTCAGAAAAACCATTTCATTTCCAAAACGATTTTGCTGGAAAATTCCCGATCTGTGGTTCTTTTCTGATGCTTTCCATTCACTCAAACCAAACCAAACCAAACATAAAGCCCGAAGGAGGGAAAGAATGGGCCTGAAGCCAAATAAGCAGCAGAAGAAATAACTGTTGACCATTTCACTCTACTGATATTATTGAGAGAGCCCTAGGACCATTTTTCAGTAGCTACAAGAGACCAAAATCAAACAGTTGAAACGCGCGCGCACACACCCACATACAATACCACAAAAACATAAAGACCTCCAGGGCGCTCCCGTACGAGAACCGCCATCGAATCGGGGAATGGCCTCGGAGAACACTGAAACCTTTCAATTTTGACCTTCCAACCTTGCAATCCCTTCTGTGACGTGGGGAAAGCGAAAGAGCCGCTCCTCTTCTCCAATAATCCTTAGGATTCCCTCTGGCCTGGGCACTACTCCCATTTCGAGCCGCCACCACGCGCTGCCCCAAACATTACACAACGCAGCCTCCCGGCCCGCATTCCCAGTCTTCTCTCTCGCTCCCTCCCCCGCTCCACTGGCTCCTCGCGGGTGCGGGAGCCCAAGCCTTCCCTCCAACAGGGCGCGGCCGTGGCCCAGAGAAGTCCAAGGCAGCGGCGCCATGTTCGCGAGACACCAGGCCCGGAGGCCCGGCGAAGGAAACAGGGCGTGAGGTATGGAGGGCCAAGAACTGGAAAGGATACACATTGAGACGCTGCCCCATGTCCTGGATGAGGTTAGCGGACTGCTGCCGGTACGAAAGCTCTTTATCCGCCTCCACACCACAGCGGCGACTCGGTGTATTGTCCAGCTGTTCTCGAGTAAAGAACCAGCGAGAAGAAGTTCCACGGCCCGACGCCATGACACTTCCTCCTCCGCCCGCTCATTCACCCATACCCCCTCCCCTCCCGGTTCCTAGACTCCCCGCCAAGGCCTCTAGATCCCGCCCCACTTCGCTCGCCGTAGTCACGCTCCGCCCCTTTTTAGCTCCCCCGATACTGTCAGTGCGCATGCGTAGGGGCCGATTTTTCAACTTTTCCCTAGTCTTTTGTTTTCTTTTTCCTGCCCCCACCTCTCTCCCGCGTACAAGACCACAATGCCCCGCGCCGCTTGTCATTGGGAGGCGCCGAAGGCGGGGGATCGCTCGGAAGGAAAAGGTCGGCGCGGCGCGGTGCATGCCGGGTCTAGGGTTAGCCGGGCGAAGGGGCGGGGAGGAGAGGAGGGTACAGGATGGGGGTCCTGTTGGGCAGAGACCTGTGGTTGGGTGGCTGCGCTGTGGTGTCTGGGCCTGGACTCCGAAGTCTGCTTGTCATCCTGGAACTGCAGGCTGACTGCTCTCTAGGAACAAAAAATCTTTTTTTGTTGCGGCTGCGTGCCATAATCACCATTTTCCTTTAGAGTTGGTTGGCACATTTTCATAGTCGTACAGTTCCAGTGATCACGGTCTCCGCCCGAGAGGCGGGTCTGGGAAGTAGCCATCTAGGAAAGAGTATACTAGGAAGTCATGCTCTTCGTTTGTCCGCGCTTGAGCTCCCCGCCCCCCACTGCATGTTTGATTGCTAGTGCAAGGCTTGGGTTTATTTTTAAAAATTACTTGTCAGAGGTTATGCAGTTAGTAACTGGAAGAACTGAGTCTAAACGAGGTTTTCATTTCTCTCTAGGAACCTCTCCCACACCTTTGTTACTGGGAATTGAACTAGGCAGCACTGAGTTATATTCCCATCTCCTAATTTTAAAAAATTTGACAAGGGCTTGAGAAGTTGCTGAGGCTGGCCTCAAACTTGCGACCCTCTTGACTCAGCCTCCCTAAGTAGTTGGGCATACAGGTAAGCGCTGGGTCAGTTTAATGGCACTTTGATCTTTGAGAAAAGGTTGAGAGAAGCATATAATGCCAGAGAATCAGTAACAGAAAAATGTTATCTTTAGTGTTTGGTAACATCGCACACACCTGTTAATCCCTTTGCTTCTCTCCAGAGAAAACGCCAATCTTCACACATAAGAGTCCATGTCTGTCCCTGAGCCAAAGCCTATTGTATGTGCTGAAATTTCTCTCTCCCTCTCTCCCTCTCTCCCTCTCTCCCTCTCTCCCTCTCTCCCCCAGTGCGAGATGGGTCACTGGCACTGTGGCCTAAAAGGATCTCTCTCTCTCTCTCTCTCTCCCTCTCTCTCTCTCTCTCTTTCCTCAGGACTTTGCCCTTGTAAGGCTGGCGAGGTGCCACTGAGTTAAATCCCTGGCCTGTGAATGAAATTTCAATATTTAAAGTTTTAACTTTTTTGCTGAATTTGCTCATTACTTTCAAATGAGTTCCTCATCAAACCCCTGGGCCTTTTTTTGCTTGTCCTCATTTTGAGGTTCCAAGGCTCTGCACAAGATAGTGCTCTAGGCGTTCTGCCTACCCCATTGTACCCTGATATTAATTTGATTATAGTCAGCCGTTATCGTGGACAGTTTCTCAAATAACTTCATTTCTTACTTGTCTTGTGCCTCACAGGTTACTTAGAAGTTCCTAGATGGGGACAGGGATATAGCTGAACAGTGGGACATTTGGCTAGTGTGGGTGAAGCTCTGGGTTTGATCCTCTGCACTGAAAAAGTTCCATGATTTAAAGCAACATTCTAAAAGTTCTAACCTCTAATTCTCAATTTTTATAAAAATTTGACAAACAATAAGAGAACTTCCTCAACTTGATAAAGTGTATGTATGAAAAGACTACAGCTGACAACTCTTTGTCGCAAAAAAGTAGATTCTTACTACTAAAATCCAGGACAAGGCGAGGAAGTCCCCTCTGCTGACACCTTTCAGCATTGTACTAGCATGTCTTATCTAACACAATAAAAACTAGAAATGGAAAGTATGCATATTGAGAAGGAAGATATTTACCTTCAGTTCACAGATGACATCAATGTGTAACATATCCCAAGGAAATAAACTCTTGCAGTTAATCAGCAATGGTAACAAGATTAGATCTATATGGGGAAAACTACAAAACTGGTGAAAGAAATCAAATCTCTGAAAAAATGGAAGGATGTTCTGAGTTTATGGAAGATACAAGTTAAACATCAGTTCTTTTCAACTTGATAATTTAATGCAATCCCCACCAAAATTCCAGATATTGACAAACTGATTTGTGAGTTTATATGGAAGGATAAAAGCCAACACAATGCTGTGCAAGTTGGACTGACACTGCCTGACTTCAAAGATACGGAAGTCAAGACAAAGTGGTACTGGTGAAAGAATAGACACACAGGTAAATGGAACAGAATATTCACACACATAGTGGACTGACCTTTGAGAAAGAGCTAAAGCAATTAAGTGGAGTAAGGGCAGTCTTTTTAATAAACAGTGCTGGAACAGCTGGACTTTCATATATATGCATATGATGTATATATGAATGAAATGATTGAGAATGCTTACACTTTTCACAAAATTTAATTCAAAAGTGGATCATGGACTTAAATGTAAAATGAAAAGCTGTAAAACTAAAAGATAACAGGAAAGTGCGCGGGGTCTTACATTTGGTTTAGATAAAACCTCACAAGCTCAATCTATTAAAGAAAGAAATTGGTAAGTTGGACTACATTAAAGTTAAAACCTTTTGCTCTGTGAAATGCACTTTAAGTGGTGAAAAATTGAGGGAGAAATATTATAGAATATATCTGATAAAAGATGTATCTAAAATATGTAAAGAACCTTTAAAATTCAGCAATGATGCACACTTAAAATCTCAATACTTGGGAGGCTGAGGGAGGAGGATTGTTGAGAGTGAGTGGTGAGTTCAAGACTGTCCTGAACTACACTATGAGACCCTGTCTCACATAAATTAAAAGTCTGGGGCTGTAGCTGTGCAGCAGAGAACTTGCCTAATGCATATGAGGTCCTCGATTCAATTCCCCAGTAGTGCATAAATTAAAAGAAAAAAATTAGTTCAGCAATAAGGAAACAGCCCAATTTTATTTTTTAATAGCAAAACATTTATTGGTACATTTTAGACACACATAACGATAACACTCATCATAGGGAATTTGCACCTGTGCACGATACCTTCCAACTCTTTTTTTCCCATTCCCCACTCCTCAAGCCCTCCTCCCCTCCCTAAGTATGAAACTTTGTTACCTTTTTTCCTTCTATTTTTTTCTTGTTCCTTTCTCTCTTCCTCACCCCTCCCTTGTTCCCCTTCCCATTTCAACATTAATATCTATTATACATTTTAGTCCTTATTTCTACTTTCAGTTTCTCACACGAAAGAAAATGCAATATTTAAACATGTGTCTCATTTATTGCACTTAAGAGTATGGTCTCAAGGTGCATCCATTTAGCTATAAATATTTGAAGCTAATCATTTATGGCAGAATAGTACTCCAATGTATAAAAAAACTATATCTTCTTTATCCATTTGTTGGTTGATGAGCATTAGGGCTGTTTCCAAGAATTAGCTATTACAAACTGTGTCTCTATAAGCATGGGTATGTATATATCTCTGTGGTGTGATACTTTTAATTCCTTCAGGAAGATACCATGAAGGGAAGAAAGATACTAAGAAGGGAAGATACCTGTGTTGAATAGAAACTCTAGTTTTAGTTGTTGGAGGAATCTCCACACTGATTTTCACAGTAGTTGCCCCAGTCTACACTCCCACCAACACTGGAGAAAGTTTCCTTTTTCCACACAGCCCCTCCAGCATTTGTTATTGATTTCTTGGTTACAGCCATTCTTTGTGGAGTGACGTGCAATCTCAATATTGTATTCATTTGCATCTCTTGAGTGACCAGTGATGCTGAAATTTTTTTCATGTGTTTATTTCCTGTTTGTACTTCTTCAGCTGAGAAGTGTCTATTCATATCAGATCCCCATTTTTGGATTGGGTCTTTAAATTTGGGGGGTCTGATTGTTTTTATTTCTTTATGTATTCTAGATAGTAGTCCTTTGAGGAATAGCTGGCAAAATTTTTTACCCATGCTGTAGGTTGTCTCCACTCTGTTGGTGATTCCTCTTGCTGTGCAAAAGCTCTTTTTTTCCCCATCAAGTTTATTGGTACATTTTAGGTATGTGGTACAGTTACATTCATTATTGGGAATTTGTACCTATACATGATGTATCTTGGTTCTTATTTTTTCCCCATTCCTCTGCCCTCCCTTCAGCCCCTCCACCTCTCCCTATTTACAAAGACTTTGTTTCCATTTTTTCCTTTTCCTTCTTACCTTTCCCCTACCCTTCCCACTTCCCTTGCCTCTTTAGACCTTTTCTTCCTATTTCACATTATCAATTATACATTTTGATCCTTATTTACACTTTTAGTTTCTCACACCAGAGGAGCTGTTCGGTATTTATATGTGTGTCTTATTTATTTCACTTAAGAGTAGGGCCTTAATGTGTATCCATTTAGGTATAAATGTTTTGAGTTTCTCCTTCTTTGTGGCTGAATAGTACTTCATTTTATTAAAAAAAAACCCCACATCTTCTTTATCCAGTCTCCAGTTGACGGGCGTTTGGGCTGTTTCTAAGCTTAGGTATTACACACTGTACCACTATAAACATGGGTGTGTGTATATCACTGTTATATGATTCTTTTTAATTCTTTTGGGAAGATAACCAGCAGAGGGATAGCTGACTTGAATGGGACCACTAGTCTTAGCTTTCTGAGGTATCTCCATATTGATTTCCACAGTGGTTGCACCGGTCTGCACGCCCACCAACAATGGAGAAGAGTTCCTTCCTCCCCACAGTCCTGCCAGCATTTGTTATTGGTGGATTTCTTGATAGCAGCTATGCTTTCTGGGGAGAAGTGGAATCTCAGTGTTTTTTTCATCTGTATTTCTCAAATGACTAGTGATGTTGAACATTTTTTCATATGTTTATTTGCTGCTTTTACTTTTTTGTCTGAGAAATGTCTGTTCATTTCAGAAGCCCATTTTTGAATTGGGTCTT